TTAACATCAATGATTCCAAACAAAAAAAAAAAAAAATTCACTTTATGCATAACTCATTTCCCTCCCCCCCCTAGTTTAATTGGAAGAGCAACCTCTTTTTTTTTTTTTTTAAACAATTAACCTCACTCTCACCCATAACAACTCCGCGAGATCTTGCAGATTTTAAGATTAAGAAATATCTGAATTTAATGAAATAACAAGAAAAATTTAATATCACCCAACTGAGGTTCCAAGACTGAGGTTTCCTGGCAGGAACAGCTAATTCAGGCCAGTGGATACCGTTGACTGTCCATCAGGATTCAGAACGGAAGAGAGGCAATTTAAAAAACTGGTAATCTGGTTCCATAAATTTCATAACTGAGGTTTCCATTGAAGTAAACTGGATCAGGCGAATGCAAGTTGACTGTCCATCAGGATTCAGAACGGAAGAGAGGCAATTTAAAACTGGTAATCTGGTTCCATAAATTTCATAACTGAGGTTCCATTGAGGTGAACTGGATCAGGCGAAAGCAATAGGACTATTATTTCCTTTTCAAGATGTTTTCCTTTTCTTTCCTTTTTTAATTTGACTAAAAGTACTTTTACCGTAGACCTGATTTTATGGAAATCGACGCATTAAATTGTCTCGGCCCAAAGGCTCTGAGAAAGGAAAGAGACGCTCATCGTCTAAAAACTGCGTAAAAAAACAGCAGCACCGCAACTCCAAGAGCTGGTGTCAGGCGTGAGCAGAGAAGAGAAGCGCAAAGTGAGCTTCCCGCGAAAAGACAACCCCTTTTAGACAAGACAGTGCAGCCAGCTTGGCTAAACCCCAGCCCGAAAAGGTGAAAAACCCAGTTACCAAAAACTCCCGCCTTAAGAAATGCAAAATTTTATCCAAACCCAACCAGTTTGAATTTTTAACGGATCTCCCAACTCGCCAGAAATTGCGCCGAGATGAGGCCACGCCTAAACACTGCAATTGTAAAAAACGGGCAACACTGACAGGAAATGGCTTTTCCCAAGTTCCAAAGATGCACATTTTTCGTTGAAAGTGAACTTTTGAAACTCTTCCCCTTTTTGTTAGAATAAAAACTTAGGAAGTTCAATAATATTAAAAGGCTATCTAAAAATTGATTAAGGCTAGGATTAAGAGAGTAGACTCAAATTAAGAGCTAATTTTTGCAACTAATGATATTAAATACTAAGATTTTTACTTAATTTTTAACATGAAAAACTGAGTTATTATGAAAATTCACCTATATCCATGTCTGAGTGTACAAAATTGAAGACGCAGTTCGCGTAACTCAATAGCCAAAACATTACACTAGAATTAATAAACCAATAAAAAATATAACCAAACTTGTTGTGTAGCTCAAATTTTGACTAATTACAAATTAAAATTTTGATTTTTATGAATCACTTAATTATATTAAATTCGCTACACAACAGGATTGAGAACCAAAACATGGCTTGAAGGTTCGCATCTTTCTTTTCTCAATGTCATTCGTTTTATCTACCTGTGATGTTAGGAACTGATGTTGATTCAATTTTGCCAACTTCAGTTAGAAATCAGCCATAATACAAAAATAGATTGGAATAACTACTTGAGGTATATGCAAATATCCTCAATTCATGTCAATATTTCATGTCTCATAAAAGAAATAAAACCTGTGGAGCCAACAAAATCGTAGAAATAGATGAAGGTTTTTTCACAAAAAGAAAAACATCGGATGTATTCTTCTGGGAAAATAGGTATTGAGGGGTTTACACTGAAAAAGCACAGAATGTTTTCTGGTCATTGTTTCCAATCATTGTGCTACAACACTGATGACTGCCATTAAAGAAATTAATGCAGGTGGCAGCATTATATTTTCAGACTGCTGGAAAGGCTATAAGAAAGGAGAATTAAGAAATGCTGGGTATGAACATTTCACTGTGAATCATAATTTTGTAGAGCCCAAAACCAGATGCCATACTGTGGAATGATTGCGGGGCAGTGCTAAATGGAGAAATAAACATCAGTGGGGCACTGCTTGCCACCATTTACAGTCATACATAATAGAATTTATGTGACATCAGTTATATCCAAAAACTGAATTTTTTTCTATAATATTGAATGATATTTGTAATTTTGTGCCACCTGTTAAGATTTAATTTCTTTGTTTAGTCATCTTTTATTCATGTGTAGAATATTCTGTAATGCCACCTGTTTAGATTAAATTTCAATTTGTTCTGTTATTTTTTATTTATGTGTAGAATATTCTAGAATTAGGAATTTTTTTTAATTACTTTTTACAGAAGTAATTTTTTTAATCTTTTGAACTATTTTCCATAATTTTAAACTTGGCATCAATTGGTAGCAGGGAAAAAAAAAAAAAATTGGAGCATTTTTTTAACTGACACAGCTCTAACAGAATAGTACCCAAAATGTATTTGCTTACAGATATTTAATACAAAGATGGATTTAAATGTGTGTGTGAATATAAGTACATATATTTGATAGTAATGACTACATGCCAGAATTTATTGTAAAACTTCAAATATATGTAGCTAGAAAACAAATAAAATATGTATGTCATTCCACTATGAATTCACTACATTTTGCTTCTATTTCAAAGGCATTTGCATAAAAGATTGTTAATTGAATAGAGTTAATGAATAAAAAATTTCAAGGATATCGACTTAAAATCTTCACTGTAAGCAGATTTTTTGCATGGCTGCCATAATGAATTAATTAGTTGCAAGATAAATCAAAATTTATTGAAGGACTTTATTCTGCCATTAAAATAAGAGTAAATATAAGATATAATTCACTACTTTTTTATGTTGATTTATATAATCAACGGGCTAGATGACTTCGAATTTTTTACACTTAATTTTTAAATTCTTTCAAATTAAAATATTGTATATTGCACCAAAACTCATTTAGCTTAATATGCAATTTTCCATATATTTATTTCTTTCATGTTACACATATGCTATGAACTGCTAAGCACATTCCTAACAATAGATAAACATCAGAGTACTCAACATTGACACAGTTAAATAAAGAGTGTAAAGTTTTAAAAACTCCAATAACTTTTCCTTCTAGTCTTTCTTAGGATTGGATTATTGAGAATACGGCAAAGCACACTAGGGCTATCTGCCTAAGGGGAGGGATGCCTTCGTGGGGGACTTTTTAAGGGAAACTGGAATAAACATGTTACACATGGTGAAAACCACAAAAACGGCCATGCAGCCAGCCCGTTTGCGGGATTCGAACCTCGAACTGAACTACCAGTGTTCAGCGATTTTATCGCTCGGCCGCTGGTGGGCCCCTAGTCTTTCTTTGGAAATTAGCTTAAAAATATGTAGTAGCAGAGATAACATAAGTATTTTTTGTAATGCACTTAATACTTCACATGTGTTATTCCACTTTGCATGTTTAATTTCCAATTACTTTACACTGGTTAATGTACATCTTTAAAACATATAATCTATAAATTAATAAAATCTTATTTTTAGACTGAACTGGAACTAAATTTTAAAATGTATGTTTCTATTAGTAGATTTATACAACTATTGGGATATGGTATCTTTTAGAGTATAAACGATGGACTTCAGATAACAAGAAATGTCTTGCACAGTACCTCCAGTATACATGCTATAAATTCCTATGCTTGCTTAACAACTATTTATGTGCTAAAATAACATATTTTTTGATGCCCAATATACACTCATGTCAAAATTGATTGATGTTCCATGAAATATCCAATTCATGAAATCCATTTTTACATGAAACATATGAAAGACAAGCCTAACTGGCATTATCTAATCAAAAGTGATCAAACTGCTTTAGATATGCAAATCAAAACATTATGCCATATGACAGTGAATCAAGCACTTTGTGCAAAGTTAATATCTGACAGAATTTCTGCAATGCAGTATTTGATTTTAGTTTGTAAAGACTTAAAACGGTTCCCTATGACTCCAAAGTATCATTTGGACGAAACCATAAAGTAGCAAATCATTGGCTGTTTAGAAGCACAGCAGACAGACTATAAGGAAGCAGTTGGGTAAATATTTCAAGACAGAAAGTCTCTACTCTATGGAAATAATTTCAGAACTCTGGAATTACATAAGGAGGTCTAGACAGGATCATAAACGAATAATAAGTGCTTCTCAAGATCAATATCCAGCAATAACTACTTGTTTGAAAAGTCTACTACTCGGCAGTTATGTTCAGAGCTTATAGCCTCCACTGGAACTATTGTTATAAGGCAAATTGTACACAGAAGGCTTAATGAAAAAGCCTTCTATGTATAGAAGATGATAGAAAGCCAAGGGTATGTGTTCCACTGTCTTCACAACAAAAAGACACTTTAATTGATTTAAAAAAAAAGCAGAACTGGACCAGCAGTGGTCCCATATTATCTTTACTGACAAGCCAAAGTTTAGTTCAATATTTTATTCTAAATGTGTTAGCATCTGACGGGAGTTAGGAACATGAAATTTTCCTTTGAACATTTTGGAACATGACTACTTTAGTAATGTAGGTATGATAGTATGAAGAGAAATAAACATGGATAGACATATGTCCCTATATGTTTTCAATGACAGATCTGTGACCAGCCAGAGATAGCAGATGAGGTTTACGAATCTTATGCAAAACTTTTCAGCGAAACATATGGAACTAATCTTTTATTTATGGACAATAATCCTCATCCACATTAACCAAACCTTGTTGATTTAAATATGAAGACAATGAACAAATATTGTGGTTAGAAAAGGTTCTAGGTTTAGTTTATTACAGCAAAGCATACTACGGCTATCTCCTAAGGGAAGGGATGCCTTTGTGGAGGACTTTCTATGGGAGGCTGGCTCGTATACATGTTACTCATGACTAACACACCTATGCAGCCAGCCCATTTACCTGGAATTGAATCTAGGATGGAATTACCAGTGTTCAGCGATTTTATGCTTTGCTGCTGGTGGCCTGTGACCAGAAAAATCCCCTTATCTTAACCTGACAGAAAACTTACATGACTACCTTGGAAGAGTAATTGTGAGACCTCCTCTTGAGATGTAAATGCCCTGAAGACTGCATTTTTGGATGAGTGGAACTTAATATCCTAAACTGTGGTTAACAATGTAATTGAGAGCATGAAAACACATAGTGGTATGCGAGTACAAGTCAGGTACGATCACATTTCATATTAAATTCATAAACTTTAATTTTGCCCCCCTTAAATTCTCCTTGTAATGCAGTGTTACCATTTTTACTGTTTAATGTTAAGTATCAAGATGTTATGTTCATGTTATGTATTATTCCACACAAATTCGTAAACTTATAGTTTACAGTTCCTGAGAAATAAGTGATTTCATACAAAGTTTAAAGATAATTTTGGACTTGAGTATATTTTCCAATACTCATTGCATAATGCAAATAAATATTAAATAAGTTGGTAAGAGAAATGTTTCATTCATTATTAAAATTTACTGAAAGACCTAAACATTATATTTAAAACAAAATAACATTAAATTACCTGAGCATTAAATGGACGCTGAGGCATAGGAAGACTAGAGGGAGCACAAGGAAGTAGATCTAAAGGAGAGCCATTGAGAACTGAAACATTTTTGCCCTCACCTATGTTATTCCAAACAAGAGCACTTGGGCATTCTAGTGTTATAACCTAATTTTTTTTAACAGGGAAAGAAAGAAAAATATTAGCTCTATGAAAAAACAGATATTCAACATAAAGTATTTAAAAACTGAAAAAACAATACTTTTTATCATATCAAGCTGTAATTACAGAAAAAAGGGACAGCAAAAAACTTTGCTTTTGATGCATCATCACATGTTAAAGGCAAACTGTCACTGAATGATTATTTAAAAGCAGGTGTTTCTTTCCATTCAAAACCTGTTTCACTAATTTTAAAATGACATCTATATGGATCTTTTGGAAAATCTAAATGTGGCCCTCGAACTTTCCTGAATTCCAACATGCGACTCTTACCAACATGAAGTTTGGCCACCCCTGATATACAGCTTCCAACAGAGGCTGAGATTTTGCCACATTGTGAAGCATCAAGCATATTTTGATGTCAGGCATTACTCCCAAAGCCTTTCTTTCACTTTGACCTTCCAATCAGCAAGCAGACTGGCTGCAAAATCCCAAAGTTTTCCAAAATACTAAGAAGTATTGCCTTGTTTATAATTCCAAAATGCCTCTTTCAGATTACACTTGAACTTGTTATCTTTGTTGCAATGCTTCTGTTTGGCTGTGTTTCATTATGTTTGTATATGTTCTAGTTTAAAGGTGGGTAAGTTTTATTTAATTTGTTTAACCTGTTATTTTATGTTAATCATATTGTCACTTCTTTCTTTCTGTTTTCCCACCAGAATGCAAATTAACTCGCATTTTCTTAAGTGAATGTCTGAGATGATTTAGACAGTGTGTTTTGCCTAGTGAAGGCCATCTTCCTAGGTGTACGATTCTAAGATAAGAGTTCCTGTCTTCAGCCGCACATTATAGTTGCCAAGAGTATTTTCCACTGGTGAAGCTCTAAACAGCCAACTTTGCATTTAAATTACTCTGCATAGCCTTTGGCTTTTATCTTAGCTTTAGGTTTATAATGCATTTATATTCCGAGTTCTCGCTATAAATGCCGGCTAATTTGCAAGCACCAGGTATGCCGTCTGTTCATTTTACTTAGTTTGAAAATAGAGACTCTTTGTAATACTTTCGAAGACACAACAATAAGTTGCTTACAGTCTTATTGAGAATTAGCCATAAGCTACAATTATTAAAAGGTTCATTCCTTGCAGGTGTTAGAGAAAATATTGCTGGATTTGTATACAGGTATGCCTTGACTAAACAAATGATTTTACCATCATATCATTAGTAGAGATTAATATTGCCAGCAAGCATTACAACCATATAAAAGAAATCCATTAAAAGCAATAAAAAAGTGCTAAGATTAGGATAAAAAATTGCTAAACTCCTACATGTGTGTTAGAGAGAAAACTATTTCTCTTCCTTCCAATCAAGATTACAACAAGAATTTGTAGAATTTCTCATATTACACTACTAACAAGGAAAGATTTTCTCCTCTTAAATGTGTCTAGCAATATTTCATCAAAATCATGCCTGTTTTTACATTATTTCCTTTAATTTGTCACAGTTATTTAATTGCATGTTCTAGAAGGAATATAAAAATAAAATATGTATTTTAATTTAATAATAAAAATTTTAAAAATAATTTTTCTTACTCAAAAGTCATACACCTGTTGTTGAGAGATAAATTTTTAAAATATATTTCACCCAGATCTGCTAAAAAAGTTGGCACTTAATAGTGGCAAATTATTTACAAGAATACAAAAGTATTATTCACCATGTTTTACAGTCTTAATTATTCGCCAGCATGTGTACAACCCGTTCCAATGATGTGAAGTCGCAAATACCTGTATCGCACCGGTTTTGTTGACAGTTAGAATGGACCGTCTACTGCGCAAGATCTCAGGACAGTTTGGAACCGAGTGCAACGAAGTGGTTCCTTCTCTTAGGAATTAAGTCTAGTCACAAGGGGGCTGATTGATATGGTGGATGTAAAGCACTTCCCATCACTTTAACAAATCAGTCACACTTGCGCTGCATGAGGGCGAGCATGTCATGCAAAATGAGGGAGAGCTCTGCAGAGTGTCGCCGTTTTTTTTCTCAAGCTGGTCGGGACTGTGCTCCAAAAATGAGCAGTAATACTGCACAGTGACGGTCTGCTGTGGGGGAACGTATGCGTTAGATGAACCATCACAGTGTACACGAAATCACCAAACTTTCACATTGCTGGGTTCTACAAATTCGAGTCGTGGTGACCGTGATGACGCCATTCGTTTGATTAGCGTTCAGTTCTGCGGGTACGATCAGGCCAAGTCTCATCCACGAATGATACGGCTAAAAAAGAATCTCCTTTGTGCCCAAGCGCTCCGTGGATTTGGGCAGCATCGTAATCGTAGCCAGTTCTGCATTTCCGTCAATTGATGTGAACCCTCGTGAAGCAATTTTTTTCATGGACAGCATCGTCGAATGTGCAGCACAGTCTATAGCTAATCTGTTTGCTCCGGCAGCGACGAATAGTTGGCTGCGACACGGCATAAAGCGCAACAGCTGCATGCTCATCACTGACATTAGGCAAACTGGCCGCGCATGTCTCCACGTTTGGCGTCCTTCATTAATGCTTTCACCCATCTTGCTATATTTTGTAAGGCATGCAGATTCCCGCAGCCTCTTGAAGCCCTTGATGAACTGTCGTGCTGTAGACCTCTGGACTTTCAATTTTTCTTCAACAACATTGTTCTTGTTTTTGAAAACATCCTGACCACACATACTTGAAACCGCGAACTAATACAAGGATCCGTTCTTCGCGTCTCCGCATGCGCGTGACGTGGCAGGACGTCTTTTTGCTGAGAGGTAAGTAGGTATTAATTTACGTATGGTATACGCGATATTCTTTGGTTTTGTTGTGTAGCGTTTTTTCAGCTGTGTTGCCACTATTAAAGTTCCAACCCTCGTATCATAAAGCAACTCTGGGAAATTATATAGTGATATGCATGTATGCAGAATTACTGCAAGGCTTTTAAATTCTTAATTAAAAAATTCCAGTACAAAATATCATATTAAAAAGGATATTTCATAGGTAGTAAGTTAAATATATAGTTAAATTACAGAAACTGTATATCACAATTTTTATCTGAAATTTTTCTCTAAATCATTAATAAGTACATGCTTTTTCTACACTTAAAAACACCAAAAATGACTACCAGAAGTAGAATTCATAAGTGCTATATTAAAATAGTAAATACCTTAAAACACAATTTATGGGAGAGAAGAATTCTTAAGTCTTTGAAAGTAAGGATGATTAAAGTATTTCACCTCAGTATTATTCCTGAGTATTTTTCATAAAATACTCTATACAGTTTCTGGTTTATTTTATTATTTTAGATTTATGAAAATAAACTTATACAAAAATTGATAACAAATCCTTTAATCATATGGCAAATGCTTTCTTTTTCCCCACTGTCAACATGCACAGTATTATCAAATTATAGAGAAATTTATTTATTGATTTTTGTAATAAATAATTACTCCAACACTTTTACACATGCAATCAATATCTTAAATAACTTTATAAAAAAAGGTTTGATACACAATTGAATACATGCTGCAAATATTTAACACAATAAGTGGCAAAACTTTTCATACCCAATACTAAACTATTGTACTCATATAATAGCTTATACTATAAATATATATGCTTTTCTATTATAGCTTTTATACATTACAAATCACTAGAAGTGTCTATGAATAATCAAAGAAAATAAAAGGGTGAACTGTTCGGTTTTTTTTTTTTTTTTTTTTTTTCTTAAGTATTATTCACAACATGAGAACAATTTTCGTTACTAGATATCTATATATATATATATATATATATATAAAAGGTTATAATCCTTCAGGCATTAATAATTAGAAATATAATTGAACTTCAAGAAAATTTTAGAACATTTAAAACATGATTCAGTAATTAAACCTTATACTACACAAGATACATTTAGCACTAATATAAACTTCTAAGCATGAACTAAAAAAGATTTCTTTTGTGAAAGTGGTCTACTTACCTGAAGAATTCCAGACAGCCAAAATAGGACACTGCGATGATGAGGACAGTTAAGGTAATCAACAATGCTTGCTGTGATTGGATTGAAAGTAGGCTGAGATGCAGCAACTGATACAGGAAGACTAAAATACAAAGATGAAATACAGTGATTCAAATAAAATTTATTTCTTGCAAAATATATTGAACTTACTTAATATCTAGATTTTTTGTACTTTTCCATTAAAGCCAACCATGTATTTTCAGCACCATATTGGTTCATTTTGGTTTATATCTTCCCCCTTGCTTTGGCTCAATACCACACAAAATGGAACAATTTAGAAGAGCAACATGGAACATTCTCTATTTTCATGACAAAATCTTCCAGAAACCCATTGTGGGGAAGAACATAGTTTACATTATCTTCTTCTTTTTGTGAATAAGTTTTTCTCAATTCCCAAAATTTTGTTTCAACAATTAATTTTAACATTATTACAAGATAATAAGGAGCTGATTGAAGGAATAAGTATCTATTGATATGGCAGTAATTAAAATACTTGATTCAGTAAACCATATTTGTGTTCGGACACATCCTACCCCTGGCCATACGTATTGGTTGCATAGCTTAGCTTCTTCTTCATCTCTTGGCAAAGCCAAGTCTAAGAATACATTGAAGGAGGGATGATTAAACAAAAAATGGAGTTGCAGTTATAAAGGCAATTATTGCTAAGAAAGAGGTAGAACCAAGCTCATATGTTGCTGAAGAAATATGCCAAAACAAACACATGCAAAACAAAATATAAATAAATGAGCCTAAAAGGATTCAAATTTTACCCCTGCGCCAGAGAATTTGTTAAGGTTTTTCATGTTATTGTTAAATCACAACTTATCTATCTGCTCTTGCACTTACTCTGCTGGCACATCTTTTTTTGTCTTTTTAACTTTATTACTAAACATCACTTTCTTTATGCTACTTAAAATTCAACAGCAAAATTGTAAATGATTTTAAAAACAACATATCTTTAGAATTCCTGATACTACATAAAATGTTGCCATATATTAGTCCAAAAAGGAGATTATTCTAAAATCTCCCTTTTGTGCCAAATCAATTTTGTTGCCTGGTTCAGTTTCCAAATAACTAGCCACTGGTGCAGCCAGCTGCTTAAAACAGTTAATATAAAAAAGCAAAAAATATATAATACCAATATCCAAATAGTGTTCATTATAAATATATAAATTCAAATAGTGTAATTTTACAGGTCCAATTAAATGAGCCATGTTTATTGCTTTTAAATTGCTGAGTTTGTTAATCAATAGCAGGCAGATTAAATTTAAAAGAAAAATTAAATGTGGTGTGTGTAAGTTCAGTCAGATATCTTTAGAATTCTTAAAAATATTAAAGGTCAATGCAGTAGCAAAATTTTTAGATATGTCACAGGTTGGAACATCATATTTTGAAAATTGTAAAATTTTCAGCAATTTTAAAATCATAGGAATCTGAAGCAGCAAAGATAAAACTAAAAGTTTCAGTGTGCTTATTTACACACATATCAAAAATTAATATTTTGAAATTTTAAATCTTCTTTAGCTTTGAAAAAGTATTAAACATTTATTGATACTTTTCCGCTTCGCCAGTGCAAATCTCGCCAAGCAGACTTTATTAGCAACTACATACAGTTTACACATGGAAAATGTTAACAAATGTTAGTTCTAAGAATGTTTTATTTTGAAGGCATAAACATTTTAATATCGTTTGAAATTTTGCAAGAAGCTAATAAATAAAGACAATAAATTTGTAAAAGGATATTAAAATTTAAGAACTTACTACGCTGTCATGGTTCAACATCCTGATTCGCAGGTTCATATCACGTTATCCCAAGTAATCTCATCTCACATAAACTACACTACAAAAATCTAATTCTCTCAGTAATTATCTAGAGTAATTAAATCTTAATTTGGAATACAAGTTTAAATGCAAGACTTATTTCAGTTCATACAAATAGTTTACTCATAAATTATGTAAAACCGCAGTCCTTTACTTCGCTAGTGCATTCTCATTAGTAGTAATGCATTTAATCCTTAACTTTGCCTTTTCTATATTTTCGCCTTCGGGTGAGCAGTGAGATTGCATCCTAATTGACTTATTTACCGCGAATGGTCTTAGAGCATAAAATTGAACTATCTGGTAAAAATTCTATGCAATTGTATGCCAGTATTGAAAGAAACAATCAATCTGATAAGAAACGGCTGCTACTTGTTTTGAAAATGAGGCGTAAAAGGTTACTAGCGAGGATATTCCGTTTGGCAGTTGTACCATTATTGGCAACTTTATCGTCTGTGCCGGCAAAATGGAAAAGTACCCATTTATCTTTAGCAAATGCAAACCTAATACAATGTTTAATAATTTATTTGCAGTCATCTATGGCATGTACAAATAATGAACCAAGATTTCCACAATAGACAAAAATATGTATTTTTTTATTAAAAAACAGGTGTCTCAATAAAAATGCTCGATGTTTCATAAGTGAAATAGTTCCTTTGGGTAATTTCATAAACGACATTAAATGAACTGGCTTTAGCTAACATCTTTTCCCCCCCGTCTTTTTCTCCATATTAAAAAAAAAAAAAGCTAACATCTTTTTCCCCATATTCAAAAAAAGATTGAAAATTAAATTTTGTCTCTTGAATTCTCTCGGCATTATGATTAGAGGCCTCATTATGATATAGTTTCCATGCATGATTTTTTACATCCTATGGCAAATACTGAGTTTGTGAATTAATTTCCCCCTTCAGGTGTGGCTCCACATAATACACAGTTCTGCAATATTTGGATCAATAACACATGATACGCACACATACATCTGACATAATATGCACACATCTGAAAATATGATCACCCTATGTCTGCTTGCAAATAAATATTCTTCCATAAATACAAAAATAAATATTTTGGAATTATTTCTCCTAATTTAAATGTTTTTATTTCAATAGATTAATTTCAATCTATAATGTACTTTAATCCTATATTAGAAAAGATTACCACATACTATACAACAGTTTATCCAACATAAATTATATTATTTAATCAGCAAAATTATATTTAGTACAAATTATCATTAAAAAAATACGGTACTTTTTCTAATGTATAATGGTATCATGAAAGAAAATCACAACCTAAAGTTGAAAATCACCCTCACTATTAATCACTACACCTCCGTAATTTATCAATACAGTAGATCACTAACTGTAAAACAATTCTACTTAATACCTTGTATAAACAATTTGTTGTTTTAAGAAAGAATTTCACATATCACAGATGAAGTGAAAACATGTAGTGATCATTATTTGAAGTAAGTTATCAATTTTTTATTTCCCATGGAGAGGAAAAAATGCAAAAGTATTCATATTACAAGGAAAACATTTTACATCAGAATAAAATATGCAAAAATGGTCACTAAATGAATCTATACTATTACTTATACAATAACTATACATCAATGATGAAAGCACCAGCAGAAGTAATGTTAAAAGTTGCAGGCCAAAGAAAAAAATCAGTACTATGGCTTCCAAACATCACTTCTAACAGGAGTGCAATTTATTTATTTTGGGCAAAAGAACTCATGCCCATTAAAGGTTAAAAGCAGTTTAAAATATGACAAGCAGTACTACTCACAAAAATATTTATATGAGAGGAGTTAATTGAAAGCACTGCAAAAATTCTCATTGAAATAATCATGAAGCATGTGAAATAGGAATCAATTATCATATTCAGATTATTGCAAGCATACATACACAAGACCTGCTAAATAGAATCATTTGACTAAGAAACATAAATTCAGTTTTGTTCATCTGAAAATTGGCACTTACGTTCAAAACATAAAGATACTATGAGTCTGTACTATATGTCAAAACTGAAAACAATTAGGTAAGGTTGCTATCATCCTGAATTATACTTAGCAAAATTTACATTTTGTCTGTATGTAGAAAAGAAAAACTCCTTTGATAACATTCTTCCATATTAACAATTTAGCTGCCCACATTAAAATATGAAAAACTAAGTAATTCCAAATAAGTTTTTGAGCTGCACAATGAGACTATTTCAAAAGAACTCCAAGCTGAGTTAAATTCACATTATAATGCATGATTCAGAAGTAACTGAACTATTTAAAATATGATTCTGATGCAAAATATATTAATATTTAGACAGATATTATAACTATTATGTTCTTTGGCAAATTTCATTTTACAACTTTCTTATACTTTTATACTGAATATGGAAGGAAAGCTTTTATTTATCAAAGAAATTTCAATACAATAAAAATATAATTAATAATTAATATATATGCTGTTGTGCGGATAAACATAGCAAATGTACCATTTATTTATATAAAACAAAATGAAATAGTAACTGTTAAACATTAGTTTAAGTTTAATAAAAAGTTCTATAAACATTTCTAATAGTTTAAGACAATGCAGATCAAACAAAATTTAATTAGAAAAATTATTCTGAAAATTGTTAACAGTGAGGGAATATAATTTGCACAATTTACATTTCATTAATTCAATAAATTTCATTGATTGCTGGCAAACATTTTTCTTAATGAAAGGTAAAGAATGAAAAACTGACAGATTCTGTGATTTACCAAGAAATGTGTAGAAAAATCAGAACAGTTGGCAGCAGTTATATAACAACAATTGCAGGTATGTAGCCTCAAGAAACTATATGCAAGAAATTAGTATAAGTGATAAGATATATGCTAGAAATAAATATGACAGCAATTTTGCTATATTTTTCAAAATATTATATTATTGTTATTTCCATGTGGTTTTTGCTTGGACTTTTTTTCACGCCACATATTTTGAACTTTGTGACTTTCGTGGTAGCTGCTATAATGTACAAATGTCAAAAATAACTATGCTGTTTTTTGGAGTTTTTTATTTGGAAGGAAAAGAACTGAATACCGTATCATTAGTAAAAACCTTGCTGAATATATATAAAACATGGTAAATTGTTAAAAATTATTTAACGAATAAAGTTACAAAAAAACCAAAACAAAACAAAACAAACAAAAAAAAAAAAAAAACTCAGAACTTATCAAAATTATGAACTTACTTAGAGGATGTATTTAAAATTGGGCTTTGGCACCGGGTAGTATCACCACTTTCACAAAGTAGAAAGTTTAGTTTTTTTGCACAGTGATGTGCAAGACGTCTTGACAAAAGCTGGGAATTTACAAACTCGTCCACATACTGAAAAAATTTGTCCTCAATTAATATGTATACATTGTCATTTATATACTGTGACACAAAAGAACTGGTAATTTTATCAAGAAAAATTACTATTACTTTCTGAATAAATATTGATTATTTATCCCGCATACCAAAGATATAAAATAACCATCAAGAATAAAATACCGAAAATTTTCCCTCTCTGTATCTTAAAAAAAAAAAAAAAAAAAAAAAGGGTTTTATGCACAATTGTTAATATTGAAATATATAAAACTGGAAGGTTTAGATGCCATGTGTCAGAGCAACTTTAAGAGAATTCTAGACTGATTTACCTTAATCACTTCATAATTTGCTATAGCATGATTTTGATTTGAAAAGTAACCACTTAATATTGAATTTCTTATTAGAAAAACTTTCATTCCACAAAGAGCTTTTAAACAATATAAAAATAAAATTAATGATTAATGTGTATATAGTTGTGTAGATAAACTGTGTAATACACCATTTACAGATTTAAAACAAAATCAAATATTAATTATTAAATGTTACTTAACTCTTCATAAAATGCTCTACAATCATCTATAATGGATTAAAACAGTTCAGAATAAAAAATTTTAAAAATTATGTTGATAATCACTTGGAAAAAATTTAACTTGCCCAAAATAAGTTTCAATAAGAGGTAACAAAAATCATCATCTTAGCTTTCTTTAACAATCTGCCATAACAATTTTCTTCATGGCATTCCCCCTTCCTCTAACACTCAAACAACAATTCTTTTAAAATAACTGGTTCTCACTCTCCTCTTTTACTGCTTTTTTCACCTTTCTAATACCATGTCAAAATACATCCCCCACCCTAAGTTTATTTATTTATTAATTTATTAAGTGATGCACTCCAAACAACATGTAAAACTGATTTTTTTTTTTAAATTTAGAATGCAGTAAAGGATGCACAAATTTTAGATTTCTTACATTTAATAAATCTGTATTCTCACACATTAATATATTAATTATTACTATTATATTAGTTCTCTTTTGTTATATGCAACTTGCACTAAAAACTTTATATAGTCAGAAATATGTACAATTTGATCTGTAATGTCATTCTTATCTGATTCTCATTTATGTAAATTCCTGCGCAAATGCCAGAATAATGACAAAATCCTATCTGAACAGATTTTTCTAACACTGTTTTTCCTACCACATTTGCCTTTGAATCAGATGTGTTATTTTTATATCATGTAATAATGATCTTGTTTTAAAAATAAGTACTATCAATTTTAATATATTCTATATAACTCCCTTTTTAAATATTTTATCAAATCAAAGCAGGTGTCTCAAGAGTTAAGTGTAAAAGTTAAGATTAAAATATTCATTATTAAGATTTTAAAAAATTATTCCACAGCAAAATAAAATACGACTGATTTTTACGGTATTTTATGAATTTTTTTTATAGTACTTCACATAATTTTGATATAAATATTATTAATGTTTTCCAAAAGTGGTAACTGTAATATTTATGATATATAAGTTTTCTCATATCTTTAATGTAAGAATTCAGTGATTAGAAGGTCACAGTCACTATCAAATTTCAACATATGGATAGCTAAATAAATTTTGATCATATGTGTAGTTATAATACAAAAACAGTGGTCAAATAGGATTTAAAATAGCATGTAAAATATGAAATAAATAAATAAGATAAGAACAAAAGCATAAAAATATTAACAAATAATTAAAAAGCATATTAAAATATTAAATACAATTTTTAATGTATTTTTATCATGGCATGTGTCTGGCACTAAATTTTGTCTAAAATAGGTTTCTTTATAAATTTCACTAAAAAATGCAGCTTAATATCATTCTTATTTCTAAAATAAAGTAATTTTTTAAAAGTTCTAAAAGCATATAAAAAAATATTCTCATGCCAAAAATTATCTAATTTGCAAACAAAAATGAGCTACACCTATAAACATTTACATCAGAAAAAGAAAAATTTTCATGAATCTAACAAGTCAGCTAATTTTCAAATGTGTTTAATTGATTAATTGTAGCAGTTGTGAAATAGCAATAGAGCTTTCTTTCTTCTTCAAAATTTTCAAATAAAAGTTTATTACATATATTTAAATCAACATTTCTTATAAAAAAATTCATTCACATAACACCAAAACAATAAACACAAACTGCACTTATAAAACAATACATAAATTAGTCTCCAGATTTTCTATTTATTTATACAGAAATATATTTACCTGCAAGACCAGAGGTAAAATAATTTTTATCAGGGGATCATCTGGACTTTTTGTCTTCTCTAATAAATCAAGAATCCATGTGAGAAAGTCTTGCCTATCTAATAAACCCTCCTATGAAAAATGAAATACTTTTCAGTCTTTGATGTTTAATGCATTTAAATATGTTATAATACACATGTTTCTTATAAAGAGTTATTTATTTCATATTTACTTATATTCCTTGATGTAATAAACTCAGTTCTGTTTTGTTCCAATCTTAATTGCCATTTCTTTCATTTGAAATCTTTTTCATCTATTGCTGCCTCACAATATTGATAACAAGCTGCCACTTTAAAGGTTTTGCCAGCAAATTTTACATCTTTTTTTCTAGCAAGCTCTTTTTTTTAAACCAACAGATGTTGCCTTTGGTGCAACATTTGCTGTGTGTATATTGGTAGCTGTCTCTTTATTGTCAATTTGTCTCTCACTAGGACGACAGGCATCAGACCTTTTTACAAATCAGCAAGATTGTTTCTCTATGTTGGTAATAACAATCCCAGAATTCACTGCACAGCTCAAGCAGCAGATATCAAAACATGGGGATAAAATCCCATGCTAATCATTAAAAGAATTACTCAAAATTATTTTTCATGTATACTACTCTCACTACTGTAATCTAAAACTAAATGGAAAATAGCCTTCCGTGGTCACTTGAATTATCTTATATTGAGAATAAGAAACTTTAGATGCCATACATGTTTATATGTCATGGATACATGTCAAAATAACTGCACACATTGCTAAAAACAAAAGCTCAAATATTCTAACTTTCCTGCTGTTTCTGATATTTTTATATGTGCCTATTATTTCATGTATGCCGGGCTTTACAGATTCAATTTGCATCAGTTAGTTTCACACAGATTTCGCACAGTATATAAATTTTGAGAACTGTTCCTTTAAAAGATAAATTTACATTATATTTTCCCCCCAAAAAAACACTAAATATGTACAATAATATGTATAATTAAGCCTGACACAGCTGCTTTTATTAAATTACGTTTTCCCTAACTTTGCATACACTACCTTGTTCTTTAAAAAGCTCCTCCTTATTTATGCTATATTTAGATATCATTTGCATGATTAGAACTTAAAGAAATAAATACGACAATTTACTGTGTAAATCAAGATAATAAATATGCTATAAACATATTATTATGCCCAATTTCAGAAGATGTTGCTGCTTAGAAAGATATATAAAAAATACATGATAAAATTCATAAAATTATTTTCGAAAATGGAAATAAAAGCAAAAAAAAAAAAAAATAATAATAATAATAATACCTCATACAAATGTCGAGCTAGCTGTGTACAATATTGCCATTGTTTATATGCAACATCAACAGTCACACCATTCAATGAATTACTTCCTAGACCAGTACTGGAATTTGACGTAACACTTGAACCAAGTGAATTTGCGGAACTACTGTTGCTGCTATTCAAAGCAGCTGTTGAGGAATTACTAGTTGAACTACTATTACCAAGTGCTATAGAACTATGGTGATGCTCAGCAAGCTTCGTTAGCTGTTCCCGCAAAAATTTACATAGAGCTTGGGTCCATTCTAAAAATTAAAATGTAAACATACATGTGCATATATATAAAATAAATGAAACAATCAAATATTGTCCGACAAAGTATATACAAAATATTTATTAGAACACGTATTTCATGCTGTAGACAGAATAGAAACAATGTCCTTTTCACGACTATTTTAAATGCTTCAAAAATCAATCAAATGGGAAATAATGCACTCCAAAACATTCTTCCATACATTAATTTCCACTTCTCTCTGCTTTCCCCCAAAATAAATTAAAACTTTTTAATGTTTTTCTGATAAAACTTACATTTGATCCTTAGAACATTCGGTACTTTTCTGTTAATGGGCCACCAGTTGCCAAATACACTCACTCATGGACAAAAAAATTAGCGCACCAAGAAATAATTTGCTGATCGTAATGAAACTTGCAATGAAGGTACATGTCGGGGAGATATGCAAATGATTAGAAATGCAGCATTACGTATACAGCAAGGGTGTCACAAGACTGTCTCCGCACTGTTACTACCCTTCTTTGGCCTGCCCGATCCCCCAGATTTGTCTCCAATCGAGCATATCTGGGATCATTTGGGATGACAAGTTGGGCATCCCACGAGTTTGAACAAACTAGAGGCAAGGTTACAGCAAATATGGAACGAAATGTCTCAAGACATCATACAGAACTTGTATGACTCAATGCGTGATCGTATCGCATTGTGCATTCACGCTAGAGGGGATCCAATGAAGTATTAATTCCTCCGTTCTTTTGCCTTTTTCTCTGAAATAAATTATCCTTTTTCTTTGACTTTCTTATCATTTACTTATATCAAAGTAGTCATTACGTATGTAAAATTTCGTTTTATTTTGACGACTCCTTCTTGGTGAGCTAATTTTTTTGTCCATGAGTGTATAATAGCCCGTTTATATTGCATCATGAATAGCTGTGCAACGTTTAATGTGCACAATGCCAAATCTGAGAAATTATTAATATTTTATATATTATATGACATATTACTTTTATTATAAGTTTGCTTCCCCCCATAAAACCAACACACTTTTAGGGTTACCATCATCCAGTTAGATTTCACAGCAACGTTTATGTTTGACGCTAAATGTGGCATCTCGTAAAGAGAAAAGTACCTAACTTCCATTAAGGAAAAAACAGTTCCAAATTTAATACTTTGGTGATAATTTGAACAATTTTAATTACAAAAAATTTTTAAATGTTTCATAAAACCCAAGGGATTCCAATAATTATTTGGGGAAAAGGAAAAATTATACTTTGTGGCATGTACTATTAAAACTCTAGTAAATACCAATTTCTTGTACAATTATTATATAGTACCAATTGTTATATAGTATCTACGTAAATAACAGATAATACATAATGAAATGCATGCAGTCTGTTAAATATATACCATATATACTTGTGCACTTTTCCTCCTTTTTCTTACTAATTTTACCTGTTGAGAAATAGGCAGGAGGACCAAAAAAGCTATAAAAACCCACAAAAGAGTAACTCAAATAATTTATGGTACATTCAAATGAAACAATTTTCATTATTGAGATGGTGATACAACTCAAAAAATGTATAAAATCTATAGCCTTTCCTGTAAGAAGTTAACTCTTTTTTCAAAACTTTTTTATTTGAAATTAATTCCAAACAATGACTGAATTTATCTCAAAATCTCAGAATGGAAAAATCACTATGGAAAATACACCTCAAATTAAAATATTTATTTTAATGATATTTTTTCAAAGATATAAAATTTAATTATTTTACCTTGGGATGGATCTGGAAGTTGTCGTTTTTTAATTTTGGCTTCTGATATCGCTGCAATATATGCTGATGACATTTTTATAAACCACGCAGCTCGTAACATTGGAACAGAAAATTCATACAGTGTCATAAAAATTTCTTCTTTTTTATTAAATATTGGAACCTAAAATAATGAAAAAGAAAATATTTCATATTATGATTGAATCAAAAATAAAATGCAAAAAAACCTCTCAAAGATGACATCCATCCATAATTACAATTTCAATCTTCAATGAAGGTGGCCACCTTGAAAAGATCATGTATGATACTAACATTAATATTGTTGCGAAATGTGCAGGCGCGGTAAGGTGGCTTCCCCGCAAAGCAATTTTTTAGGGTTGCCATAAAATGGCAAATGAGGGCAAGGTTGCAACATTTGGCGGCAAAATTGGCGATATGCCATGGGCGGTTGGAGAACCTTCTGGAACGAATTCTTACCGATTTAGCCCAGAATGTTCCCGAACACAAGCCGAAAGCTATATAAACCCTGCTGGTCTGCAGTCAGTTAGTGTGTGTGCCTCGTCTAGCAAGCTGATAGTCTGTCATTGAGTGAGTGTTTCGAAGTCTAGCGCCGAGGTGGTCGTCGAGTGAATTGAGAGAAACTTTCAGTGCATCGTAAATTAGTGCATCGTCGAGTTTTGTCTTAGACTGTGCTGAGTCGAGAGCTAAACTCTTGTGTATCATCGAGTGCATCGTGTGGAGTGTCTCGAGAGTACGTGGAGTTCCGAGAACAACCAAGCAGAGTTGGGAGCTGTACTCGGCTGCTTTGCAGTGAAGCTGTCTCCACCGTTATTGCCTGACAGTGTGAAGGCTGTGTCACTGATTGTTCCAACGTGTTTATAGTAGATCTCCGATGACTGTAAAAAGTGTTATTGGAGCTGTCCTGATCAACATTGGCTAAATAAAGTGTGTTTCGATACTTCATCAAGTGTCGTCGTTATTCACTCCAAATCCACGAACACCGTACAAACAAGAATGAAGAAAATAACGCAACAACTGGAATGAATTTCTGTTTTATTTTCAGAGATAGTCTCTATGGGAGATGGTTGCTATGGCAGTCTTCACTAGAATATGCTAGCAAATGACTGTAGTTTTATAATATTTAAAACCAACTTTCAACTATATACACAAGAGATATTTACAAATAAATATACGTATTTTAAAATACTTATAAATAAATAAAAAAATACTTTACTTCTATTTATTTACAAGTATAAAATTTATTTTATATTTGTAAATAAATAAAAATAAAAACATGATAATTCAAAAATGACTTCTATATGGAAATTATAAAATAAGAAATTACCTTTTTTGCAAGAATTGTAAGTGATTTGGATCCTGCCAGATCTTTGAACCATGCTTCAATGGCATTTTTGGACCTAGCAGTTACCTGAGTAAAACATACAGTTATAAATAACAGTCTGTTGTAACATAATATACAAGATAAAATATTATCATACATTTGCTTAAACAAATAAACAAAAATATATAACTGATTCTGGTTTGCTGCTTCTGAATATCCTTTGTGTTTGCAAAGTACTGAAAAGGAGGAGTAATGGAGGCTTTCTGATGGAATGAATAGGTGAAGAATGTTGACATGGTTGTAGTAGCTGAAATTGAATAGAATGCAGAGATGCAGTATCTAAAATTAAAGTCTACTATGCACCAATGCATGAAATCTTAGCTTTAGGCATTCTAAGTATTTGCCAATGAAGGCTACTAATGTGTTCATCAATCAAACTATTATGTATGGACCTGTTTCTCATGATGTTACAAAATCATCATGGTCGACATTATCACCCATTTCTATGTAATGCAAGAGCTGTCTGTTTGAACATTTTCCCATGATCATATGAAATTCCTATAATGTTCTTCTGTAGACTGAATTGTGTATTCATTGTCCACCTTAACATGTAAAAAAAAGCAATTTGTGTTTTAAAATAAAGACAAATCTTTTATATTCTTCATATAACCCTATGGTCTTCATGTGCACATCCTGCTGCATATCACATAACAAGGTTATGGGCCCAGAACCTGAGATCTAGGAAGTATGTAAAATGTCTTCATATAGAAAAACAAAGAACACAAAACAATTCTCTCCTTCACTTTATTGAAATTAAAAGTAGCAAACCAAAATGATGAACCTTAGCACACAAACTGACAAGTAAAAATAAAAGTATAAAGTCAAAAGTATAAAGACAGAAACTTTTGAAGCTAACTAAGTTAAATTTAGAAGATGGGTTCAAAAAGATGAAAAAGCTTTAACAGTTACTTCTCTAGTGTGAAATCTTCTGAGTAGAGCACATAAAAAAGAATAAAACTTTGTATGAAGCATGGATGAAAATTACATGAAATTCATTAGCCGACAAGACATTTAGCAGACATGGACACTTAGCCGACAAGACATTTAGCCAACATGGACACTTAGCCGACACGGAGACTTAGCCGACAGGACATTTAGCCAACAGAACATTCAACCAACACAGACACTTAGCCGACAGGTCATTTAGCCGACACAGACTGTTAGCCATCACGACATTTAACCGACATGGAAAGTTAGCCGTCAGGACATTTAGCTACGGGACAGTTAACTGTCAAGACATTTAGTCAACACTAAGCCGACAGTGAAGTTTAGCTGACACATACCCTATAATTATTTAAATTTACAATCAATTAGAAAGTTTCTCGACTTCACCACAAGTTCAATATTTAAGTTATTTTTTTCGCTTATCAGTAAAATTCAATTTTCGATTCTTGAAGATCTCATATGTGCTTTTAATTATTGTGTTAATTTAGCATTGTTTGATACGTATCGTGCTGTTTGGTGTACATTGGCCAAATTGAAAAAGTGCTGAAATTTCTCATCAGAGAATATGAATTAAATTTCGAAACGAAAAAAGCATTGTTCTAGCTAAGTATGACGGTCACTTAATTACATTTTAATATGAGATCTTCAAAAATTATCTGTAATGCTTCTTCATTTAATCAACTGGGTTCTTTTGAACACTTTCACATGATTAATAATTTCCCTTGTTTACTTAATGATAATAATTTTCCAATCAATCTCTTCCAAATGCTTTCAAATTTCTAATATCTTTAAGTTTCATTAATATTTTACTCATCACATCGTGTTACATTCTTTCCCTTACAAAATCATTTGGCTCCTCCCACTAATGAAATTTCCTTTCCCTGTCCTACGAAGCGATGCAATCGCAGATGTAGGTATCCAGCCATTGCGTTACCCTGTATATAGCAAGTGAAATTAGTGAGCATAACTTTTTATGTGCTAGCATTAAGTTCAGAAGATTTGAAGCATTCAAATTTCCTGAACTGATTCAAATCAACTGAACTGATCTCCTGAATCTGAACTCCAGAATCTCCTGAATGCTGAATTGATCTCCTGAATCTGATTCAAATCTCCTGATCAGTTAAGTGTCCCGTTGGCTAAGAAGTAGGAGGGGATGAGCAATTATATTCGTAGGGAGCAATTATAGTTATTTGGCAGATACTGTTTAGGCATAACTTGGTTGTAGGAATATTGTGAGAGAATTCGCAGTGAAGTGGGATCATTCATTTCGTGTTACGAAGCACAGTTACTCGAGAGACAGTGTAGGCTAGACTGAACTGACTGCTGTCATCAGTGTAGTAGGAGTAGACCGTTCTGAAAAATCTGAATAATGCAATAAAAACTATTATTATTCTTGAATTATATTTTATATAGAAACATATGGTGGTGAGGGTTAGTTTAGCAAATATATTTTATTTTGTTATTAGAAACAATTAAAAAAAAAGTGAATTTGTAAGACAAGCAAAGGTATAAATTATTTGTGACCTCTATAATTTGCAGTTCATGTCACCATTCTTGAGATAAAAAATATTGTGACATTTTATTCACTACGCCTCTCGCTTAAAATACTTACTTAGGTTAATGTTTATTGCCCTAAACTAGTGCATAATGTTTAATTTAGAAAAAAATATTCTTTAAGGTTTTGTTTCATTCATAACCGAAGCTGCAGAAGGAACGGGCACAAAGTAAGGCGGAGCAAAGCGACACATCGTGAAAAGTCATAACCACACATCATTATATTTTATAAGAAAACATCGCTATATTAATGTTTTTCTTATATAACTCTTCTCAATATCTGTTTAAAATGTATAAATTTTCATTTCATTTCTTAAGAATTCCCCCCCTTTCTTGTTTTTGGTTTAGCGGCCACCTAACAGAAGTAAGTTTGATTTATGTAATTACGGCAAAGCCAGAGGGCTATTTGCCTAAGGGGACTGATGCCTTCGTGGAGCTCTTTCTAACGAAAACTGCCTCACATACATGTTACACATGGGAAAAACCACGAAAACAGCCTGTCTGTTCGCAGAATTCAAATTCGAACTGAACTGCTAGTGTTCAGTGACTTTACCGCTTGGCAGCTGCTGAGTCTAACAGAAATAGAGTGACCATTTTACTTAATACATAAACAGTCTCTTCCAATGAAAATTGCCTTTTTAGGCTAGAATTTTATTAATACATTCAGGAAAATGGGCACCAAAAATTTTCCAATTACCATGTAGCGAAACCGAAAATGAGAAAGAGAAGGAAAGAAAGAGAAAAAAATAAAATGAATGAAAAATGAAAGGAAAATTTATACATTTTTAACACATATAGAGAAAAGTTATATTCTATAAGAAAAACATCAATATAACATATTATGGTACTTTTTCATTTTGCCGACGCAACCAATAAAGTTGCCAATAATGGTACAACTGATGCCAAACGGAATTTTGTCAATAATGGTACAACTGATGCCAAACTGGTAACCTTTTACGCCTTATTTTCAAAACAAGTCGCAGCCATTTCTTATCAGATTGATTGTTTTTTTCAATACTGGCATACGATTACATAGAATTTTTATCAGACAGTACAATTTTATGCCCTAAGGCCATTTGCGGTAATTAAGTCAATTAGAATGCAATCACACCGCTCACCCGAAGGCGGAAATATAGAAAAGGCAAAGTCAAGGGATAAATTCATCAATTCTAATTGAGAATGCACTAGCAAAGTAAAGCACTGTGATTTTACATAATTTCTGAATAAGCTGTTCGTATGAATTGAAGTAATTTTTGCCTTTAAACTTGTATTCCAAATTAAGAGTTAACTTGAAATAAATGCAGATAATTAGAGAGAATTATATTTTTGTAACGTAGTTTGCATGAGATGAGATCACTTGGGGTCACGTGATATGAACCGGTGAATCAGGATGTTGAATCACGAAAGCATAGTAAATTCTTAAATTAATGCCTTTTTAAAAATTTATTGTCTTTATTTATTGGCCTTTTAGAAAATTTTAAATGATATTAAAATGTTTATGCCTTCAAAATAAAAAATTCTTAGAACTAACATTTGCTAACATTTTTTATGAGTATGTTGTCACCAATAAAGTCTGCTTGGCGAGATTTGTGCTGAAAATTACACATCGCAACTTTCAAAACATAGTACATAATATTATCTATTTACATGACGGATCTAGTTAAATCTAGTGCCGATAGATGGCACCACATTACGGTGACTTTTCACGATCTGACGCTTTGCTCCACCCTACTGGTTTGTGGTCGCCTCATTCTGCAGCTTCAGTTATGAATAAAACAAAACCTTAAAGAATCTTTTACTTCTAAATTCAACATTATGCACTAGTTCAGGGCTACAAACATTAACATAAGTATTTTAAGCGAGAAGCGTGGTCAATAAAATGTTGCAGAATTTTTATCTCAAGGATGGTGGCATGATCTGCAAATTATAGAGGTCACAAAAAATTTATACCTTTGCTGGTCTTAAAAATTCACTTTAATTGTTTTTAATAACAAAATAAAATATATTTGCTAAACTAACCCTCATTGCCATATGTTTCTATATAAAATATAATTCAAGAACAACAATAATTTTTATTGCATTATTCACATTTTTCATGACAGGGAAAGGAAATTTCATTAGTGGGAGAAGCCAAACAATTTTTTAAGGGAAGGAATGCAACATAATGTGATGAGCAAAATAGTAATGTAATGTAATGATATTAGAAATTTGAAAACATTTGGAAGAGCAAGATTTGAAAATTATTTTTATTAAGTAAACAAGGGAAATTATAAATAATGTGAAATTGTTCAAAAGAACCCAGTTGATTAAATGAAGAAGCATTAAGGATAATTTTTGAAGATCCCATATTAAAATGTAATAAAGTGATCGTCGTACTTAGCTAAAAAAATTCTTTTTTCCTTTTGAAATTTAATTCATATTCTCTGACGAGAAATGTTAGCGCTTTTTCAATTTGGCTAATATACACCAAACAGCACGATACATATCAAACAATGCTAAATTAACACAATAATTTAGCACATACGAGATCTTCAAGAATCGAAAACTGAATTTTACTGATAAGTGGAAAAAATAACTTAAATATTGAACTTATGGAGAGAAGTCGAGAAATTTTGTAATTGATTGTAAATTTAAATAATTATTGGGTTACGTGTCAGCTAAAATTCACTGTCGGCTTGGTGTTGACTAAATGTCTTGACAGTTAACTGCCCCGTAGCTAAATGTCCTTATGGCTAACTCTTAAGTGTCGGTTAAATGTGCTGTCGGCTAACTGTCTGTGTCGGCTAAATGTCCTGTTGGCTAACTGTCCATGTCAGCTATATGTCCTATCGGCTAACTGTCCATGTCGGTTAAGTGCCTGTGTCGGCTCAATGTCCTGTTGGCTAAGTGCTTGTGTCGGTTAAACGTCCTGTCGGCTAAGTGTCCTTGTCGGCTATATGTCTTGTCAGTTAAGTGTCCCCTCGGCTAAGTGTCATGGACCCCCATATAACTAACTAACATATGCACTTGTGAAGCAGTGATTTCTAAAAAGATGAAAGCGAATGAAACAGTGCTGGGTTATTTTACTAATTTCTTTCGAATTATAGATAAACTTCAGAAACAGGATCTGAAATAAATGAGGAATACATATATATATATATATTGCTACACAAAGAATTTGAAAGTTTCAGATTCGTTGTAGTATCTCATAAATTGCCTGATTTAAATATACTAAAGGCTAAGTTACAAGAAGAGTAAAAGAAAATTAACAGTTTAAACCACAAAAAATAGCCAAGTTTAAGATGCTTTAATAATTAAATATAACAAAAATGCAGAAGTAAGTTCTTCAAAAAATACAAAATGTTTATTTTGAGAGTAAATAGGATAATTTTCTATTTAAAGCATAAAAAATAACATTTCAATTAAACTGCAACTATTGGGTCAGTCCATAAATTTGTGCACATTTTTTAGTAATTTTTTTAAATAATATAAAAAAGTACAATTTAACATTTTAATCCATTATACATTTTCCTCTTATCTACAATATTTGCCATCTTACAGGCAGCTTTTTTATGTCATTGCTGTAGAAAGACTCTGGTTTTGATGCAAAAAAACTTGAAAGTTCATTGTGTACATCCTGTTTAGAATTTAATTTTTTTCCCAGTAAAAAAAATTGTAAGGCACGAAATAAGTGAAAATCACTTCAGGCAATATCTGGGGAGTAAGCAGGATGTGGCAAAAGCTCCCAATTAAATTCACTTATTTTTTGCAGCGTTGTTTGAGCCGTATGCGGTCTAGAGTTATCATGATGAAACAACACTTTCTTGATATTCACCCATCGTGGGCGTTTTTTGATCAATTTTGAGTTTAGACGGCAAAGTTGTTCACTATAAACTTCTGAATGAATCATTTGATTTGGTTCTAACAGTTCAAAACGTCCTCAACAGGGTTCATCATCAATGCTGCCTTTTTCAACTTAAAATTTTTTAAGCCATTTCTGGGCAGTCCTTACACTAATAGTGTCTTCACCATGTACAATATTAATTTAATCGCTGCAAACCTGGCAGATTCCCCCATGAAAATGACAAATGTAACACAGTATGTTTGTACTGATTATCTATATTCATCGTCTATGGGTACTAAAGTGGGTTCGATATTTACGAAAGTTGGTGATGAACTGAATAATATGTTACTCAAACGATGACAAGTTTCAACAGGTTCAAAATTGTATTGTTTTACTAAATGTGTCATAGTGAATTCCATGCATTCTCTTAATGCGCACGAACTTATGGACTTACCCAATATCTCAATATTTCAATAAAAAGTACAATTGATAAGAATTATTTTTGATGTTAGGCTGCACTGCAAAATGGACTCAAGCATACAGTGATGTTCAACATTCTAAGGTCACAAGCCCATGAGGAAACTTCTTTTTTTCGGTACTAAGAGTAAAGAGGTTAAAAAAAACTGTTAGGTCAGAACATTTTCTCAATTATTATTGAAAATATCTTTCACTAGGAGGTACACTGGAGTCGTATTTGAAGTGTTCAAGGATTCAGGTGTGTGTGTGTGTGTGTGTGATTATGGCAAAGCCTCGAGGGCTATCTGCCTAAGGGAAGGGATGCCTTCGTGGAGGACTTTCTAAGGGAAACTGGCTCGTATACACGTTACACATGGGGAAAACCACAAAAACGCCCATGCAGCCAGCCCGTTCGCGGGATTCGAACCTCGGACCGAACTACCAGTGTCCAGCGACTTTACCGCTCGGTCGCTGGTGGGCCCTTCAAGGATTCAGGAACTGTCCATTAATGGAGGCTTAATTATGCGCAAGAAAAATACTTATTTCCTTTTATTTTATGTTGCAATGCTTTCACAATTAAGATTTTTATGAACTTTTTAGTTTGTTGTATTTTTGCATGCATAATTATCTTATGTTTTATATTTTGCATGAAGGATAAAAATTTACTTTGTATTCATTATAAAATAAATAAAGTAGAAGCATACAAATATTTGCAGAAATGCTATAAAAGTAACTGAACATTTGAGTATGGCTCAAACAAAGAAAGCATACAAAATAATACATTAATAGCATTAAAAAATTACTTGTTGGTTGGTTAATTCTTTAATTAATTAGCATTCATGATAAATATTCAAAAGTATATGTCAAAGTATAAAAATATACATCTTTTTAATGTATATCAAAAATATGTTAAAATATTTTTTTTTAAAGTACTACAATTGTAAAGATATTCATTCAAATATATATAAATTCTTACAGGCCAGAAGTTATCTTTAGGATTTATTTGCTGCCTTTTCCTTCCACTATCTTGAAATCTGTTAAGTTCTTGTTTTAGACCTAATACTGCACTAAAGTACGAGCCAAACTAAAAAAGAGGAAAACACTCTTAATGTAACATACTCTAACATATTAGCTGAAAATTCACTCTACAAAGTAGTGTAGAAATAAATCTAAAGTATTCATGAAAGTTTATTCTCAACTGAAGATTAAGGAAAAATAAATATGCATTTGAAAAATAGAAGAAATTTACTTATTCAAAATAGGAATGAACAGAATTTAGCATATTTTTTATTATTAAAGACTTCTAAATTTAATTTTTCCCCCCTTCCTGAAGTGATTATTTTCTAAGAAAGGTATGTCAGTTTCAAGCCCTTGAAACATCAGGCATTTTTTTAACATTAATATTCAATATTACCTTTTTATCAACAGAACCTTCTTATTTTACAGTATCAGGGATTAGTTTTCACAGCTCTGAATTAGCCTTAGCTTTTCACTTCAATCTTAGCAAATGAAACTTTTGGCTTTAAAATTTCATCAGTTTATTACTTATTCATTCATTAGTCATTAGATTTTTTTTTTTAAATTCAAATACTTCTCCTGAGAACTTTTAGGGAGATGATGAACAAATGATCCATAAAAAGATAACAAGGAGTTAGATATAGTTTTCACAGAAATCTACAATATAAAGTCTGAAATCCAGAATCATTGGACTTCCAGATGTGAGAATTTTTCAGATTCTAGATCATCAATTTAAATCTAGTAAATTATAAAATTAAAAATCCAAAATTGTTTATGAAATAATGAAGCATTTACGACCTTAAGGGAATCAAAATTTACCCCTACCCCAAAAAATGAACATCTATTTGTTATGATGAACATTTCTTTCAATGTAAATTGTTTAAGTTGCTTCATTTTTTGTGCTAATTTTTTGCGCTCTTTAATTTTATAGACAGATATAATTTCTCAGTTACAAAGTGCTGTAATTACAGTACTATGAATTCCCACTAAAGTGTCAGTCTAAGTTTTTCATCCTCAATAACCTCTCTATCACTTTCTTCACTATCAGTAGCATCGTTGCCAGATCGTGCACTTTTCACAAATTTGCGACTTTTCACAAACTTGTGCTACTAAAATTTGCGATTTTGAAAAATTTTCGAGACCTCCATCATTTTCTTATGCTACTTTTAGCAATGTTAAAGTTTTTTTAATATACTACAAAATGCTTACATGTTAAAATAATGTAACAAAAATAATTTATATTAAAAAAGAACAGTTTATTTAGGCTTAGATAGTAGTCAAAATCTGATAATCCTGTTTACGTGTAGGCTTCCCTTTTCAAGGCTGCACAGCCTGACGTGGGGTTAATGAGAAGGGAGCAGGGAAAAGTGGGAAAGAAAGGAAAAGAAAACAGCTTCGCAACCTCTCAACTTCCTCCCTTTAGTCTCCCGTGCATTTTGTTTTTAACCCCCAGTTCTATGGTGATAACAAATCGACCAAAAGAACTTACAGCTTGGGCTCCATATATTGGATACCCAAACAGAGAAAGAAATGAAATTCATTCTCTTGATTATAATATTGCTAAGACCTAAGGCTTTCTTAAGTAATCAGAATCTTAAATAAGCCCATTAGGCAGAATGGAAAACTCACTCAAAAACATTCCTCAATTAAAATGTTCACAATTAAGCAAAACAACAATGAATTAAACAAATCAACTGTCAACTCAAATTTAGTACAAAAGCGCTAAAAATCTAAATGTGAGAGATTCCTCACGTTGAGATTTTTTCCTCACGTTTAGATTTTATATTCACATTTAGATTCACGAGAGATTCCTCACGTTTAGATTAATTTATGCATATCACATTCTTAAGAATGGATATGCACAAATTAATTTAAAAATAGAACCTAAATTAAACGAGTATTAATTAAAAAAGAAATGGATCTTTAAACAGCTGAAAATGAACAATACAGTTTTAAAATTTTCGTTAAGCTAAGATATAAAATTAAAACAATTAAGAATCGAATATAGTCTGGAACTTACAGAACCCAATAGACAGTAAATTTGTGATGAAGTCAGAAGTCGTGTGAGCATGCATAACTATGACACCACAAAAATCACGTGACCTCCGATGTCATTTGCAACTTTTTGAGTCTTCTTTTGTTACTTTAGTTGAAAAGTTTCTGGCAACACTGATCAGTAGTGAAATTTTCTGGATTTAAAACCATACTATAGATTTTGCTGTCCCTTAGTTGATTGATTATTGGCGCACTGTCATCCCAGTGGAATACTTCTGTTATATCATCTTACCACTTCTTCACATTTCTTCAAAAACTCCATTAACTGGAAAATTTTATTTTTAGATTGCAAAACCCAATAACCTTCAAATTCACAGCTAACATCATATGGCCTAACAAGTGTACATGTACATTACTGGCAATGTATGAAATTAGCAAATAAAGGCATGTTAAACGGCTAAAATTTACTTTGCTCCAATTGTGTATTTAAGCCTTAATTATATTAGTTATTTATTATACTTACATCTGTTTTCTGCATATGCTTTAGGCTTATCAGAGTTCTCATGAAATAAATTCCCAGATATACTTATGGCAGTAAATTTCCATTATACGCCTGTCATAAATTTTGACAGGTTTCTTAATTATCAAAAATTTCTATTTATAAGAACAGATCACAAACACAGACAACATGGAAGGTGATGCCAACAGATTTTCATCTGCCATATGCCAAAAGAGTACTTTAGTTAACATAATGGAAAAGTGCCCTTAAAGCTGATCATCGAAACAACAAATCAGTTATTCATAATTCAAACAGCATTAAACGGCCTATGAATATCATTTATAAAATATATTTTTAGAAATTTCTGTTAAATATTTTATCGTCAACACACTTAACACTTTACAATGTATAGTTTAACTGCATCAAATACAACCTTAGCTGGCATTTTGCCAAAACACTTATAATCATTCAGAAGAAGTGTTAATTATGTGCCACAGGGTGAAGAAATAACATGAGAGTTTGCTCTTCTATGGAAAGAGGGAATTTGTGGTTGCAGGAAGGAAAGTCTTTGAGTCAAGGGGGTGATCTTGCTGTCAATTTTCTTTCATGCTTTTATTTCATATTTGCAGAAATAAATCTTGACGATTTGCACTAATGTGCAATGCAAGAATGTTGAAAATTTTTTTCATAGCACATGAATTTTATGTGGACAGTACATATCTAACTGCTTTCTTTCTAAAAATAAGATCACTAAAAATAATGGAACTATAATTTTAGCAGAAATATTCTTTCTGTATTTATTAAAAAAAAAAAAAAAAAAAAAGTCAAAAGGAGTCTGTTTACATTATTTGAGTGGGGGGTCTTCCCTGATCATAGTTGTTTTAACTTCACATTTGCCAATATTGTGATCTTTCATTCAAGAATCCCCCTATTCTCAGAATCCACTTCTTCCTCCCTTTCAGAGGAGGGGGGGGGACTGCTGGTAGTCTGAGGGTCCTGGATATTAGATCATTCCAGGTTTTGGACTTTGTACAGTATTAAAATATTTCTTTCCCATTCATTGTAATGTTAATCAACAATGATTATGCACTGCATATGGCTTTCGATGGTCATGTGGCTAAATTTTTGGAAGACATGAATTTGATTCCTACTCATGAGACATGTAAATTTTTCTATTTTGTGAATAAAAATGTATTTAAATATATGTTTTTCTTACAAACAACATAAAGACATATTTAATCAGATAATCAATACCTTTTCTGCCATATTTAAATTATACAATAAAAATGTAGCTCATACATGTAAACAAATGGATAAATAACACACAAAAATTTCATATAACTTTTCAAGAAACAAATGACAATGCCTAGCAACTAAACAGGGTCTGAAAAATAAATCAACTTTTGGTTTTACAAGATTTTATACTTTCAAATCCTCAAATTCAGATTTTGTCCTTTTCAAATTGTCATGATTTCATCAAAACACTTAAATTATACTGAATTTCCAAAAAAATATGTAAGTGCTGATACAATGATACCTTAATAATGATATTATGCACTTCTCAATATGCAAGTTAAAATAATAAGTTTTATATCAAAGAAGGAAATAAATTTTATATTAGATTGTACATTCAATAAAAAAATCAAAAATTTTCTTACATCTATTACTTTTTATTCACTTCTAAAAATAAGCCATAAAAATTAAAGAATATTAATATAAACTATATATTTATATTAATCTAATAACATAAGCTATAATTTTTGTATTAAAAACTAAACTGCACTTACCTTGGTTGCTGTAATATTAGAATTTCTAGCAGAACCATACTAAAAAGAGGGAAAAAAAAGAATAAATTTTATTAAGTGTTGTTTATACACAGAACTATTACTTCCTTTGGCAAGAATATTCAGTAAAGCATATAAAAATATTTGGTACTATTCCGTTTTGAGGACCGTAAAAAAATTGCAGCGAAAATGTATGCGCAAAAGAGCCAAATCTAGCAAACGCGCCCATTTAACAGCGCTCCAAATCTAGCGTACGCGCTGATTTCAGATTGCGTAAGTTTACATAGTTCTATATTTCTTAAGACGCCATTGAAATACTAGTTTAATTTTTAAATCCTTTTTTGATTTTAAATCGTTTTTTAATATCCTATGGATTTAACAATTTGGGAACTATGCCCATGACGAAAAGTCAGCAATAGAATTTTGGGTAAAGTGCAGAATCAACCACTGTTTGACGTGTTTTTAACGAATTACATACTTGGTATCCATGTGCACATTGACCTATTTTCACTTAAGAAAAAAATTCCCAGAATTGCATAAAAATGGCACTGCGCACACTCCTTGACTTTATCTATGTACACATCGACCTACTTTCACTTAGGTAATAGTAACTTCCAAGTAAAAGAAAATTGACAAAAAATCCAATTGTTTTTAAACCCTTGTAAAAAGCGGCAAACAAATAAGTGAGCGAACTCTGCACTTTACCAGAGAATATTTTTTTTTTCAAAGAAAAGGCATCATTTATTATAGAAAATTACGTTTGAACAACTAACAAGATGAAATTATGCTTTAGAGATAAGTCGGTGTGCGAAATAGCGATGCAGGTATTCCATTCAGTTATATTTAGCAATTTTTATATAAATTATAATAATGATTTGAAATAGTTATTTACTCTTATGCTTCCATTCAGTCATGTTTAGCCTTTTTTTTTTATATAAATTATAATAATAAAAAAGTATTATATGAAATTAACCTTTCATATAAATTAAAGCATCAATCTTAAATAGTTATTTACTATTATACTTCCTTTCTTGCATTAGGGTTGACGGAATTATTTTTGGCAGCACTGGCATCAACAACAGTTTGGAGATTTTTTATGGCCCTCAAAATCGAATAGTACCAAATATTTAATCATATTGTGTAACTTATAAATACATAAATTATGCAGCTAGAAATTATCTACTTTCTATTATTATTATGCATGGTCTATAAAAAGTCAGAATGATTTTAAAAAATATAACGACTACTATTTTTGAGTATACTTACTTCATCAGGTATCTGAGGTGAGCTGTTGAATCCTTGTTTGACATTTATTGCAGTAAGTTCATCCTAATGAAAAAAATATATACACATAGTTAACTAGCATTGAATAAAAGGCTTCAGCTTTACAATTCCTAACTCAAAAAAATAAATAACACATTAATAAATCAACCTAATCTTTAGCATATGATCCTTCAGATTTAATTAATGAGAAACACTTACTTCTATTTATTTATGCATGCAAATAAATATATATATATACAAAAGATGCATATGCATGGTAATGGAAAATATTTATTTGGCATACTTATAATAAACCTTACAGAAATGGATAAAAAAAAATAGAATTTTATGAAAATTCTAGGTTTTTACTGAAATAATAGGTGTTTAATAAGAAACCACAAAACTTGTCTTAAATATCACGTGTATGCTTCATATCACAGTCATGTCAGGTATGCAAGATGGCAAACTTGAGTTATCAACAAATGACATTAGCATGCCTGCAGCAGAATAGGAGAACATGGAAAATAGTTGAACAAGATGACAACTCTCTCACAACAATGCACTAAACCAAACTGTGAAGTTTTGCAGGAGTTTTATTAAACAAAGAAGAGAATTCAGCATTGTGATAGGTTTATGAATCATAACAATCATATGAAAAGCCAGAAAAAATGAAAACCCGTATCATTAGAGTGAAGGATTTTCCTTGCTCAAGCTCAGTCAATACCGACTCATAGAACGAACTAGGACAAAGGCAGCTCCAATTAACATGCCAATCATGCCAGGGTAAGAAGACCTATATATGAAATGTAGAAACTGACTCTACTGGCTCAAACCAATTTTCTGGTTGCAAAAGTTATAGTTTGCACATCATTAACTACACATTTGCTCTGTAAACTATGTTTTGCATTCAGACATTCTAAGTTTAATTTTTTAATTAAAAGTGCTGTAGTTCTATGGAAGGTCAATCAGGAAAGGCTAACAGAAATGCATAGATAAAATAATAAATAATGAGTATTTCAATTATTACATAAAAGATGAAAATAATGCATAAATAAACTTAAATAAATGACAAATATAACAAAATATTTAATGAAACCTTGAAACAAATACGAGGTGAAACAATGATATTGAGGGAGGATACTGAAGATAAAAAAAAGAGCATTAAATATTTTGAACTGTAATTCATTCACTTCAATCAGTACTTTTTATTCAAATATTCTGAGAAAAATGATGAAAGTGGAAGATAAGATAAAATGCATTAATGAAAACATTTTACCGCTATAAAAACAAACTCTAAAATTTTTAAATGCAGTAAATGCAAAAATGACCTTGACCGCAAAATCATTCAAAGCTTATTCTAAATTATATTTTAATTAGTAAGATTATAATAAACTCTTAAAATCTGCTTTATTTATTGGCAAAATTGTTTATAAAATGCAGCTTTCATTGTGGATTAAGTTAAGAATTAAAATAAATTTGACGCTTTAACAAGAATTTCTCACAACTGACAAGAGACAAATTGGCCTAACATCCACAGCATTTTTTGAGCTTTTAGCAATTTTAAGAAATAAAACCAAATTGGCTACTTTCTAATAGCTATGGCAATAACCTCTATTTAAACAGGTATTTAAGATATCGGTGAAGAAAGCAGGATTTATAATCTTTAATTCATTAGTGAAATTCAAGGCTACTCTGTCTGAATCTGGAGCATGATTCTTCTTAGTATCTATCAATGCAGGTTTAACTTTTTCTTCCATATAACTGATATGACCCTCAAAATCTATCAGAAAATTCTCTTCCATTCCTATCTCAAGGCAAATATTATATTTTGCATAAAGTGAAAATCTGGAATGTCTCATTCATAAAGAAAAAACTAGAAATTGTTATACAGAAAGTGAAACAAGGAGAAAAGCATCATGATGTAAAGTTTAAAATTCAGCATAAGTTCAAAATAGATTTTGGAGAAAACTCTATTGATTTTAAGAACAATCAGATGCAGGACTCTTTTTCTTAAGAAGCAGAAAACGTTTACAAAAATGAGAAGTAACAACCTAAGTTAAAAATTTAAATTCTTAGTATCCTGAAAGTAACTGGAAATAATTTAATTTCAATCCAGTTCATACTAACACCTTCAAAATCCTAATATCTTAGTTTCTTATGTTTCATTATTATTTTCCTTGACAGGTAACGATATTAGAATATGGCAAGGCACAAGAGAGCTATACAACTCTGGCCTGCTAAGAGGATGGATGCCTTTATGAAGAACTTCCTGTTAAAAACTGACCCTTATTCACATTACAAATGGAAAAAAACATGAAAATATACCATGCAGTCAGCAATCTTAACCTACTCAGCCACTGGTGAGGCACTTTCACATTGCTCTGGTTATTGCTTTGGATATAAATAGTTGCACTAATCTCATTTTATGAAATTTTTCATCTTTTTTTTCTTTTTGCCCCTTGACAATGTGGAGCCCATGTCTGAAGGCCCTTGAAATCTTTATAGTTTGTTTCATTTAAAACTCATGTCTAACAAGTACGAGTTATCAGAACAATAAGAAAAGACAAATGGTAGAAATGCGCTGCATTGCACATATATTTCAAATTGTATTGAATGGCACTATGTTACTTATACAGTTAGTTAGAATTTGTATTAGAAGAAGTAAAACATATTTAATACTCCAGTTTACATTTAGTAAATTAATTAGATGGTCTAGTATGAACTATTATCTTTGTATCTTTATTCTTACATTATTACATAGGAAAATTTAACTTCTACATCAACAGCAGGGTGGGATAATGAACTCAGATTTTCAGCATGTCAGTTTTGAGCCTCAGCATTAATCAATTCTGTACCAGTGTTAATAGAGAGCTCCCCAGCAGATGAATCTGATGGGTTTTTTTCCTGCTCAAGAATATTTTAAGTGCCCCATGCTATGTTTAAATACACATACAAATATCCATGTCTTATCTGGGATTCAAATCCAGGGTCAAGGCTATGGTAGCCTATCTCCTTACGATTATGCCAACAGGATGGCAGTGATGATATGATTATTAATGCAAAATTCTGTGCTCAAGTTTTTATCTAAGCTATCATTGCATTTTAAATAATTTTTGGATATCATACTGCAGTTTCTCTACACAGCACTCTATCTTATCTCACTTGTTTTCAAATAAGAGGTTAAAAAAAAAAAAAAAAAAAAAAAAAAAAAAAAAAAAAAAAAAAACTCATTCTACTTTACAATTGTTCTGTTGTTGTTCAGTTAAATAAAAAGCTTCCTATATTCACATGATATTTGAGCTGGTACTTCTAAGATAGTAGTATTTTTTGTCAATCTCACTTGTTTTCAAATTATGAGTTTAAAAAAAAAAAATCACTTATTCTACTTTTCAATCAATCTGTTATTTTTCAAATAAAGCGTTTTCTATACTCACACAGTATATAAGCTGGTACTTCTGAGAAAGCAGTACTTTTGTCAATCTGAGTAGCAAAACAAATTTTTATGCATAAACCTTTGGGTTAGCTTATCATATTTCCTAACATGTCATGTCCTTTTTTAAGACTTATCTGATGATCATTAAAATTTTTAGGATATGGCCTTTTCTACACATTCTGAACCTGTTAGACAAGCTAATGAAAAGAATATATAGCACTTTTTGAAGAATACTTATGATACTGAACCCATGTCTCCCTTTTATAAGAAATATCTTGAACATGGAGAGAAAAAGAAAAACTCCAAATGTAAGGAAAAAGTGAAGAAAACAAGTGCAGCTGATAAATCCTGGCAAGGTTCTGACCCTGAGAATGTGCAGATGCTTATGGATCTTATTTCACAGAAAGGAATTCAAAATGTACTAGACCCAATATCAGGAAAAGTTCCTCATGTACTCACCATATCTCAGATAAAAACCAATGCTGCTGAAAATATACATCCTCTTTTCAAAGTGAAGAAATTATGAGATGAAGATGATAATAAAACAACCCATGACCACAAATGGGAACTCCCAAGGAAAACAGCAAAAAATCCAAAACTGGCTCAGCCCATGGATATTCGAAGAGTAATCACTTCGCCAACCTATTGAACTAGGAAGAAGAAATGAATGAATTGTTCTCTTTATTTCACAGATATTAAAAAATTCCGACTAAGTGTACTCCTGAATTAAAATATAAACCGGCCCTTTAATGTTTCTCAATAAACTGAATGCATCCAACCAAGAATCTGAGGTGCAAGTCAGAAGATCAATTTTTATACATGCAAAAAATAAAAAAGATGTTACCCAATATTCAAGAGACGTAGAAAGCACAAAACATAACCTTCCACAATTATCAATCAGGTGATGAAGACAGTTAACACTGAAGTTTCACTGACTGTCAACTGAAGAATATGATGAAAGCAACTACAGAAGAGAAGATTTAAAAAAAAATTATTAAGAAGAAATTTTCCTATCCTCATGGTGAAGCAGTTTACCTGCAAAACCAGATGCCATACTAAAACATCCAGTTTACTTTCTGGAACTGTAATGAACAGAAGAAGGCTGAGCAATATTCAAGGTGAACAATATTATGTGTATGAATGTGCATACTAAAGAGTACAAATTGAAGAAATGAGGGCATACACATTGCCTCCGATGTCACAGATACCGCCATATGCAACATCTCTGTTTTTATAATACACTGTGTGTGATCTGCAGTAAAAACCATAAGAGCTCAGTTTATTCTAAACGAAACAAAAATATGCATGTGTTTTCTGTGTAAGGCCACATGTTAGTCAGTAAATATTGTGGTTGTCGATTTAAAGTATATTTAAGGGTGACTCTTGGATTACCACTAAAATGTTGTTTCATGTATGGTAACCTGAGTAGTTGAATGTTATGGAAAACCTATTATGGCATAATTGGTTGTTTGATTGTGGTGAATTAGAATGATGTAAAAAAGATTTGTAAGGGTTTGTGTGTAGGGTGTTAGTTAGGAAGTATGTGGTCATTTTGTGATTTACATGGTAAAATGGCTTATGTGGTAAGATTAAGTAAGTTTCTGTATGATTCGGAATGAAAGGGAAAAAAAGCATTAACTCTCTGAGTGTTATGACTGGCTTTATCCAGTATCAGATATTTCGTGACTTGGCATATATTAGCTTATAATTTAAAATATTTTGCTTTCTTAATTTCTTTAATAATCTAAATATCATCATAATGAATGTAAGTTTATAAAAATACAGACTAAAATAAGTAATTATACAAACTCAATTAATAAATGCTGTTTAAATACCAGTCTTCATGACGGATCTAAAATCCTGCACTGCTCAGAGGATTAAGTGACTGGTGTGTAAATGAAGGTTTATGTGGCAATGTCAGTATACAAATCTAGTTCAAATAATTTTAGGAAGTTTTTGGATGCTACTTTGACTGACTGAAGACAGAAATTTCTAAATCTGAAAAGCTAAGTGAAAAAAATCTGATAATGTTAGTGGATATTTCCTTTGTGTAGTGCTAAGATGAATTTCCTTTTTTTATGTTATTTCATTGTTTGACTTAAACAGAAAATTGCACAAACTTGGCATTGGGCATTCCCTGACTTTGTCCATGTGTACATCAATCTATTTTCTCTTAAAAAAATCAAAGGAGCAGCCAATTTCTACACTAGAGCCAACAAAAAAATATGTAATCTTGTTTTTGAGATTACATATTTTTTGTTTGGCTCTAGTGTAGAATTGGCTGCTCCTTTGATTTTTTAAGAGAAAATAGATTGATGTACACATGGACAAAGTCAAGGGAATGCCCAATGCCAAGTTTGTGCAATTTTCTGATTTTTTTTTAAAAGTGAAAACAGGTCAATGTGCCTATGGGTACCGAGTTTGTGCAATGCTTCGACTTGTTATTTTGGCTTTGTATAGCGGAAAATTTTGACACAAAAATTGCTGCTACACAATGCCAAAATTACATGTCAAAGAACTGCACAAACTTGGTGTCCATGTACCACCAAAAATTGCCAATCGTCACCAAGGGGCACCCATAAATATATTTTTACCGTGGTTGTCCAAAACATACGAATCAAATTCCGAAGCTCCCTAGAAAAATTCAGCAAATTTTTCTAAATTCTATTAAAACTGAAGAAAATTTCTCTAAACTAACGAACTATCCTAAAACTTCCAGGCCAAGAAATCAAAGAAAACACCCAGTTTACTGTCAAAATTGTACAAAATAATTCAGAAAAAAAAAATCAAAGAAAATAAGCAAAACTGCATCCATCAGAAATTAAACTATTCGCATAAGTAATCTCTCGACTTTTATTAGAAATAGTAAAAAAAAAGGGTACTTTTCCGTTTCGCCGGCGCAAATCTCGCCAAGCAGACTTTATTTGACGACAACATACAGTATACGCCTATAAAATGTTAACAAATGTTAGTTCCAAATTTTTTTTATTTTGAAGGCATAAACATTTTAATATCATTTAAATTCTGTAAAAAACCAATAAAGACAATAAATTTGTAAAAAGACATTAATTTAAGAGTTTACTATGCTTTCATGGTTCAACATCCTGATTTGCCAGTTCATATCACAAGACCCCAAGTGATATCAAATCACATAAACTAAGCTGCAAAAATCTAATTATCTCTAATTATCTATGTTCATTTCAAATTAAATTTTAACTTCTAAAACAAGTTTAAATGCAAGAATTATTTCAACTTGTACAATTAGCTTATACAATCAGAAGTTATGTAAAACCACAGTGCTTTACGTCGCTAACGCATTCTCATTAGAATTGATGAATTTAATCCTTGACATTGCCTTTTCTACATTTT